GTGGGGGGGGGCGCGCGGGCGGTGAGCGAGGCAGCAGGCGCAAGGACGAAGGGAAGAGCTAGCCAAGATGCTTGTTCTAGAAAGCTTTTAATTCCCTTTATTAGTACCACTGTTAGTCAGAGGAGGGTTTGGGGCTTCCTTCTTTTGATATTTTTTTTTTCTTTGATTGGTTGGGTGGTTTTTTTGTTTTTTGTTTTTTTTTTTCATGGAAACAGTCATTAAAACACTTCACAGAAGTAGAAGAGATTTAAGTGCATGCAGAGCTCGGACCAATTTGTTTGACAAATATGCGCTTCTCCGGAACCTGTAACCTTCCCTTACCCAGCTGAGGAGGAGAGAGAGAGAGAGAGAGAGGGAGAGGAGGGACAGACGGACGGACGGACGGACAGACAGAGGGAAGCACAGCGTGAAGGAAAGGTGTTGGCTTTCTCTAGTGGCAGAGAGCAGCCAGGAGGGCTGCCCCCAGGGCCAGGGTGGCACGGCGGGGACCCCCGGCCGAGCGGGTGCCAGCCCCCACGCTGGCCCGTTCGGTGGGGAGGGCGGGCAGGGGGGCGGCCGTGCTGGGGGGCACATCCCCCAATGGGGTCCCCACCGGGACCACCCCGGAGCTGGCGGTACGGGGAGAGGTGAGTCCATCCCTGCGGGTCCCACCTGGTTCTCCGGGGATGGCTGCAAGGAAACCCTCCACGGTTGCAACGGAGGGAGCGGGGTGCTCTTCCTCCTCCTCCTCCTCCTCCTCATCCTCCTCTTCTGAATCACTCCCGGGGGGTCTCAGCACGCTGCTGCTGCCAGGCACCTCCACGTGCCACGGTGTCACCGCCGTCACCTCTGCCGCGGGGACGGTGCTCCCGTCCCCAGGGACAGCGGGCGAGGGGACCCACGGGGCCCCCGACTCCTCCTCTCCCTCCTCCTGCGTCTGCGGGGGCGCGGGGGGCAGCGGGGACACCCCGGGGCTTTCGGCCACGTCTCCCGACAGCTCGGCGTCTTCGGCGGCGGGGACGGAGGTGCTCGCCCCCCGGGACTTGTGGCCATCTGTCGAGGTGGCAGAAGCGGCACCGGTCGGCGATGTCACCCGGTGCCCCGGTGGCCCAGGGCTGGCAGCGTGGGCTGGCCGCCCCACGGCATCCTGCGGGCGATGGGGGCGGCACGTGGGGACAGTGGGGCTGGGCGGCCGGGGAAACCCCTCGGGGTGCTCCGTGTCACCTGCTGCGGCCCCCGCCGGGGACGGGGCACCGGTGGGTCCCTCTGCACCCGCCCGTGGGGCCACGGAGAGCGTCTGGGCACTGGCGGCTCCGTTCGGCTCCGTGGGCTGGTTGGGGTCTCGCCCTCCGCTCTCCGCCAAGGTGCTGGCCTTGTCCCTGCCCGGCGCTGCTCCCTCCTCCTCCTCCTCCTCCTCCTCCTCTGCAAAGGGCAAGGCAGAATGGCAGTGAGACGCCGGCACCGGGAGCCAGTCGGACCACGGGGCCACTGGCATCGCTGCGGATCCTGCCCGTGGCGGGGGGCGACGCTGGCAGGAAGATGCCCCAGGGAGACAGAAACGGCCCTGAGCCCACTTGACATTGTCCCCTCTGCAGTGGCCATGGCAAACCGAGCTCTGGCCGGGCCACTGGCCCCAGCACAGGCTTCCCAGCAGCGGGGGCCACGCTCAGCCCCTCACCGCTGCGCCTGGCCTCCTCTCCCTGCTCCGGCTCTTCGTGTTGCTAAATCACAGTCCGGCACTGACCCTGCATCGCTGGACCCCGGCCGAGGGAGGGACAGACGGGTGTCCCCACGCCGGTGGCTTGTGCCCAGCCCTACACCAAGACACGGGTGCCCCGGCCACGGGTGGTCCCTCCGTGGGAGGGATGGGGACGGCTGGGGAAACCCGGGCACCCACGGGTGCCTCCGACCTCTCCTTGCCATCCCGGCACCTCCGTCCCTGTGGCTTTTCTCTTGCACCCCAGCCCTGGCATCGCCCCAGAGGCTGCTCGACCTACCCGTGTCCCCAACTGTCCCTGTCCCCCCTCATCCTCCTCCGTGCTTTGGCAGCACAGCTAAATCGGGGGGACGCCTGCCTCGGGGGCGGCCAGGGCCATGGGGAAAAGGGGGTGGCAGGGGCCGGGTGACCTGAGGACACGGAGGTATCTAGCGGGGGGTGCCGGGTCACTGGCCCCGGGGCGTCTTCGGGGGACGGGCTCGGCTTTTCCAGCTCAGCGTCCTTAAAGAAAGGGACGGCGTAAATAGCCCCTCGCGACTCAATCTCCACTTGCGCTTTGGGCAGCTGCAGCTCCTCCAGCTTTTCTGCCACTGTAACAATCTCCTGGAGGCCCTCGGGCTCTCTGGCTCGGTATTTTCCTGCAGCCTCAGGGAAAGAGTTTGTCCCTTCTGTGGGCAGAAAGAAAGTGGGATATTACTGCCCCGCTCCTGGCCCCGCAGCAGGCAGAGATGCCCTCGCCCCCCGGCGTGGGGCTGGAGCTTTGGGGACAGCCTGGCCACCCCGGCGGGGGCTCTTGGCTTCGGCCGGCGTCCGGGCAGCGCCGAATTTTCCACTCACAGGGCGTTTTCTCCTCATCCCTGCCCTTCCCGACAGCGGCTCTCCCCGCTTCTCCCCCTCCAGTGAACCCTAAACCTCGATGCACCCCGACCCTGGGAGGGGGGGTGGGTCCTTCTCCACTCCCCCATCCCCACCCCGGGGAGCGCAGACGCGTGTGGGGAGTTAGTGGGTTATAGGGGTCGCGGATTCGTGGGACGGGTCCATCCTGCCTGACCCATGGCTTTCCCTGCCGAGAGATGGGGAAACTGAGGCACGGAGATGCGCGGCATCCAGTTGATCCGGGGGACGGTGTCCCCATCACGAGTCCCTGTGGCCCCGTGGGGGCTACACAGAGATGTGGGATGGGGAAGGAGGAGCAGAGGGGCTGCTCTTCCTCCCTCCATGCCCGTTATCCCTGCCAGCCTTCATCTTTCCTCATCCTCCCCTGGTTTATCGACCAGCGTCCAGGCCAGCCCCGGCAGCGCAGTCGACCCAGCCCGTGGGTCCCATTCCCTCTTCACTGCCGCGACATTCCCTAAAAACCAGCCTCGCAGCCCGCAGGGACCCAGCAGAGCCCCCCTGCCCTGGGGGATGAACCATCCGTGCCCCCCGCAGGGCACGCAGACCCACAGCAGCATGCAGGACACCCCTCCTTCTATCGCGACACGGTACCGAGGACATGCAGGGCATCCCTACTCCGTCGCGATATATCAGCATGCACCACTGAGACCAGGCAGAACATCCCTCCCCTATCGCGATGGATCAGTATCGGGACCATGCAGGTTACCGCTCCCCTGTCACGATATATCGGCGTGCAACACGAGGACCACGCGAGACCCCCCCTAACCCCCCCAGGGGAGGGGGATGCACACGGCGCCGACAGTACCAAACCCCCCTGGCTCTATCGCGATATCACCACCGACATGCCAGCATCCCAGTGCCATCCCAACCCTGCAGGACACCCCGACTCTGGGGGAGCCAGCACCCCCCCTTTCCCAAAACCTCAGGCTGGTCCCTGCCCGGGAGTACCCGGAGAGGGGGGGCCGGGTGTGGGGCTTTTGGGGGAGGGGGGGGCGCCCCTTTTTACCTCGAAAGCAATAGGCATCATATCTGCTCTGGGCATCGGGGAATCCCGTCTGGTTGCGGAAGAGGAAGATGGTTTTGACGCCGGGCAGGGCCCCCCCGCAGCGCTCCCGGGGGGTGACGATGGGGTAGCGGACGCTGCCGTCGGCCAACCAGCCGGGGCTGCAGGCGTCCAGCCCCCCGCTCCACGCCGCGTAGAGCTGCCCCGGGCTGGCCAGCTGGGCCCCCAGCCCCCGGCAGTGCATCGCCGCCTCCTCCAGCGTGAATCTCTCTGGGGACGTCTCCAAAAAGATCTCCCCTGCGAAGAGAGGAAGGAGACGGAGGGGGGTCAGCGCTGGGGAGTTGCTGGGAAAGGGGGGGAACGGGCTGTGGGAGCCCCCTCTGCTCTCTGCACGGCCCCCAGGAGCTGGATTGGGGATGGGGACATCCAGAGTGGTCCTCATGAGGAGGGCTGGAGGGCTGAGGAGGAGCCCTCATGAGGAGGGCTGGAGGGAGCTGCTGCCTCCCTGCACGGCTCCCAACGGGGCATGGCTCCTCGGAAACGGAGCTGGGACTTTAAGGCATACAGTCATGGAGTGGTTTGGGTTGGAAGGGACCTTAAAGACCACCCAGTCCCACCAGACAACTCCCACCAGCCCAGGTTGCTCCAAGCCCCCTCCAACCTGGCCTTGAACCCCTCCAGGGATGGGGCAGCCACAGCTTCTCGGGCCAACCTGGGCCAGGCTCTCACCACCCTCACACCAAAGAACTTCTGCCCCACATCTCAGCTCAACCTCCTATTTTTTGGTTTAAAACTGTTCCCCCTCGTTCTATGGCTCCACTCCCCAAACACCATCCCTGGAGGGATCGAAAAGCCAGTGCTGAGGGACACAGGGCAGTGGTGGGTTGGTCAGTGGTGGGTTGATGGTTGGTCTTGATGACCTTAAAGGTCCCCTCCAACCCAGGGAAGTGGTGGAGTCACCAGAGCATCACAGAACGTTTGGGGTTGGAAAGGACCTTCAAGACCATCCAGTTCCATCCCTTCTAGTGGAAGGGCATCTTCAATGAGACCAGGTTGCTCCAAGCCCCCTCCCACCTGCCCTTGAACCCCTCCAGGGATGGGGCAGCCAAAGCTTCTCTGGGCAACCTGGGCCAGGCTCTCACCACCCTCAGAGTGAAAAATTTCTTCCCAATATCACGTAATCATGGAATGGTTTGGGTTGGAAGAGACCTTCAAGACCATCCCATTCCCCCCTCCCTGCCCTGGGCAGGGACATTTCCCACCAGACCGGTTTGCTCCATGCCCCATCCACCCTGGTACCCATAAAAAGGATGCAGAGGAGCCAGTCTGTGCCCTGCACAGTGTGATCTACCTACAGGACATTTCTAAGGGGGCCTGCAAGCCCAGCAGACGCTGTGGTGGGGCTTCATGCTGAGAAAGGCTGGAGACCATGGTCCTAACACAGACCGTGTGCCTGCCCCCGGGACCGCACCACTCTCCTGGTACCAGCGCATCGTGCCCAGCATCCCACACCACATCCCTGCCATCTTCCCAGCATCCCCCCAGTCATCCCCACGGCAGCCACAGCCACCACTGGAGACCCCAAACAGGGCCCAAAGGATGTCCCCAGCCACCTCCACACACACCCGACCAGGTGGGATGTCCCCAAGCTGTGGGACAAGCAGAACCCAATGCATGCAAAGCTCGGAGTGAGCCTTCCCAGACCCCAAAACACCACACAGCCTGTGGGGCAGATCACCCTGGGCATCCTCCAGCCCCGAGGCCAGGGATGGGCACCAGCTGCTGGGAGGGAACACGTCACGCACCTCCCAAAACCAAACCAGAGCTGTTTTGGGGAGCAAACAGTGAGTCCCCACTTCTGCGTGCATCAAAGACCTCAAAACTTTGAGGAGCTCAGGGGTTTCAGGGCAGCTTTTACGCTGGGGTTCACAATGGGTTACGGGGACGAGTTAGTGCAGCCACAAAAGCAAGGGTGGGGTGGGGGGGGTGGACAAGGCTGGTGGCACCGCAAGCACCTGGGAGGTCCTCGGCGTAGCAGTAGACATCATACATGTCCTCCGGGTCCACCACGCCGTAGTTCCTCACCCCGGGGAAGCCGTTCATGTCTCCGTAACAGGCCTCGCGGGGGGTGTGGATGGGGTACCTGGGGGCAGGAAAGCAGAGGGGAGGGCTGGCGGCTCACAGGGCTTTGAGGGGGGGGTCACGGGGGGATGAAGGGCACGATGTGCCAGGTCCTGCACTTGGGCCACACCAACCCCCTGCAGCGCTCCAGGCTGGGGGAAGTGTGGCTGGAGCTGCCTGGAGGAAAGAGACCTGGGGGTTCTAGTTGACAAACGGCTGAATATGAGCCGGCGTGTGCCCAGGGGGGCAAGAAAGCCAACGGCATCCTGGCTTGTATCAAAAATAGTGTGACCAGCAGAAGTAGGGAGGTGATTGTGCCCCTGGACTCAGCACTGGGGAGGCCACACCCCGAGTGTTGTGTCCAGTTTTGGGCACCTCAATCCAAGAGAGATCTGGAGGTGCTGGAGCGAGTGCAGAGGAGGGCAACGAAACTAGTGAAGGGCCTAGAAGACAAATCATGAAGAGTGGCTGAAGGAGCTGGGGCTGTTCAGTGTGAGGAAGAGGAGGCTGAGGGGAGACCTCATCACTCTCTACAACTACGTGAAAGGACACTGTAGAGAGGTTGGGGCTGGGCTCTTCTCACAGGTCATTAGTGACAGAACGAGAGGGAACGGCTTCAAGCTCCAACAGGGCAGGTTTAGATTGAACATTAGGAAGGAATTTTTCACCCAAAGAGTGGTCGGGCGTTGGAACAGGCTGCCCAGGGAGGGGGTGGAGTCCCCATCCCTGGCTGTGTTTAAGGGCCGTTTAGATGCAGTGCTGAGGGACATGGTGTAGGGGAGGACTTTGTAGAGTAGGGGAGATGGTTGGACTCCATGATCCCAAGGGTCTCTTCCAACCTCAATGATTCTATGATTCTATGATGCTGGGGGTCCCCACCTGACGGTCTGGTCGGCGATCCACCCGGCGTCGCACTGCTCGTAGCCCCCCATGTAGGCGGCGTAGAGCTGCTCGGGGGTGGCGATGCGGGCGCCGATGCGGGCACAAGCCTCCTGCGCCTCGGCGAAGGTGTAGGCGTAACGCATGGAGCCCTCCCGGTAGTGAAACACCACCCCTGGGACCGAGGGGGGGGGACACAGACACACAGAGCCATGGGTAAGGGGCTTCACGGCAGCCCCCACCCTCATGGGTGCAGCTGCACCAGGGTGCATCCTCCCAGAAGCCCCCCCCACCCATGGATGGGTGCCCCTTTGGGCAGCCCCCGACCAAAATGGGTGCCCCTTTGCAGTAGCCCCCCACCCATTAGGGTACACCTGCACCCGGGTGGCCCTTTGGGCAGCCCCCTACCCACATGGGTGCATCTTTGCAGCAGCCCCCCACCCATGAGGGTGCATCTACACCCAGGTCCCCCTTTGAGCAGCCCCCCACCCATATAGGTGCCCCTTTGCAGTAGCCCCCCACCCATTAGGGTACACCTGCACCCGGGTGGCCCTTTGGGCAGCCCCCTACCCACATGGGTGCATCTTTGCAGCAGCCCCCCACCCATGAGGGTGCATCTACACCCAGGTCCCCCTTTGAGCAGCCCCCCACCCATATAGGTGCCCCTTTGCAGTAGCCCCCCACCCATTAGCCCCAGCCCCAAAGTCCCCACCGCTCCCCACCTGGCGGTACCTTTGACTCTGAGGTGGAGGATGTCGTGCCCGTCCTCGATGCCGTGCTGCACGTCGCAGCGGTAGATGCCCGAGTCGTTGGGGCGCAGCTCGGTGAGCAGCAGGGAGGCGTTGGTGTAGCGCTGGTGGAAGATGGGCAGGGAGGCGCGCAGGCGGTAGCCCTCGCTCACCTTCACCCTGTCCCCCCGGGCTACCAAGATCTCCACCTCCTTGCCCTCAGAGATGAAGGTCCACTTGACCCGGGGGGTTCCCAAGACCGCCCGGCGGCCGGGGGTCCCGGGTGTGGGCTGGGGGCCGAGGTAGGTGATGAGGCAGGGGATGGTGATGTCTCCTGCCAGCACGGGGTCGAGGGCTGGCTGCCGTGGGATGGAGACCTGCAGAGCCTTGAGGTCCTCTGGGTGGGAGAAGAGAGGAGCCGTGAGGGGGGTGACTCCCCACTCCCCCTCCATGCCCCAGACCCCCACCACAGGGCACCCCCGATGATGCCGAGTTACCTGTGCCATCTGCGGGGGCAAACACCTCCGGGACCACCGTGGGGGCAAACGCCCAGAGCAGCAGCAGCGGGAGGGCTGAGGCCATCCTCTGCCCTGCAACGGGATGGGGGGGGAGGAAAAACCACTGAGTGGGCTTAAAATCCAGAGAAACCTCCAAAATACCCCTTCCCTGCAGGAGGGGGAGAGGTCGGGGAGGGACCCCAGCCCGCGTGTGTGGGGATGGAGTGATGCATGTGGCATCGGGGGACGGATGGAGAGGGTGGCACCGGCACAGCTCGGGGGATCACCAGGACCCTTGGGTGGTGGGAGGGTGGAGAGGGAAGAGCAGGGAATATGCCCTGGGGAAGAGGAAGAAGGAGGAAGCACCAGCCACCAGGACCATTGGCTGGGGACCACTGGGTCCCATCCGTGCCCCCCCCACCAGCCTTCCTGGGGTCCCCTGGGGACACCAGAGCCCAGCCTGGCCCCCATGGCATGGAAAACCTGAGCCATGGGGGAACAGGGAAGGGGGATGCACTGGGGCCGCAGTGAAAAACCTCAGAAAGGGGATTTTTAACAACTTGGGGGAGGTGGCAGGGAATGAGGGGGGCGAGGGGAGGCAAGCGTGCAAGCAGGGCACACGCGTGTGCTCCCCTCCAGCTTCCACCCCGCCCCTGGCGGCGTGCACACGTGCGGGCGTGCGTGCCCTCGTGCACGTGTGCGCCGTGTGTACGGAGTTGGGGGGGGGAGTGGGTGTTGAGGTCAGCGAGCTGCTGGGGAAGAGGGGAAGAAGGGGGGGGGGACACACAGACACACACAGACACACACAGACACAGACACACACACACAGCCGAGGGGACACAAAGCGCGGGGCGGAGGGGGAGGGAAGGAGCAGGAAGGGCTTCTCGTTGCCATTCAGCTCACGCCGGAGGTTCCCCCCGCGCGGGGCTGGGAAAAAAGGGGGCCCAGCAAAGCGGCCATTATGTCCCAGGCCTCTCTCAAGGCTGCCTGGCACAAAGGGCTCTCCCCGGCAGGCTGGGGACCAGCGCTGAAAGGAGAGCCCAGTGGCTAGCACTGGTCCCCCGAGGAGGAGGAGGGGGACACACACACACACCACTGGGGACACCGGGCACGTCACCGAGTGGCTCCGGTTGCCCACGGGCTCGTACAGCCATCCGCAGAGGAGGAGGATGCTGAGGATGTGGGGAGATGCCCCTGCGTGGTCCAGGGGGGCAGAGACCCCATACCCCCTCACCCCTCTGCAGGGGGTCTCCTCACCCCCCCCCTCCCAGCTTCCCCACACCCGGGATGCTCCGCTTGGGTCCCCGAGGATGCTCCGCTCGGGTCCCCGGGGACAGGAGTACGGTGACCCTGAGACTCGGAGCAGCTTTGTAATTTATGAGCTCTTTGTGCTGCATTGATTTCGGCCGCCACAGAAGCGGATTTGGCACCTCCCGGGCGCTCTCTGGGCCAGGTCTCTGGCTGCCAGGGCCAAGCCGCCGGGAGGTTGTCCCCGTCACCAGCATCCCTCTGCCAGCAGCGCTCCCCGAGTTTACCCGTGGGACCGGTGCAGCGGGGAGAGGGTGTGAATACAGCCCCCGCACCACACACCATGGGTGTACAGCCCCCAGCACCACACATCGTGGATGTACAACCCCTAAAACTATGCACCATGGATGTACAGCCCCTAAAACTACACACCATGGATGTGCAGCCCCTGGAACCACACACCATGGATGTACAGCCCCTAGATCTACACACCATGGACATACAGCCCCTAAAACTACACACCATGGATGTACAACCCCTAGATCTACACACCATGAATGTACGGCTCCTGGCACCATGCACCATGGATGTACAACCCCTAAAACTACACACCATGGATGTACAGCCCCTGGCACCACACACCATGGATGTACAACCCCTAAAACTATGCACCATGGATGTACAGCCCCTGGTACCACACACCATGGATGAACAACCCCTAAAACTACACATCATGGATGTACAGCCCCTGGCACCACACACCATAGATGTACAACCCCTAGAACCAAGCATGGTGGATACACAGCCCCTGGCACCATGAACCATGAACATACAGCCCCAGGCACCACACACCATGGATACACAGCCCCTACCACCACATCCCGTGGATGCACAGCCCCTGGCATGAAGCACCATGGACACAGAGCCACACACCATGGATGCACAGCTCCTGGCACCATGTACTATGAACATACAGCCCCCAGCACCACACACCATGGATGCACAGCTCCTAGAACCAAGCACGGTGGATACACAGCCCCTGGCACCATGAACCATGAACATACAGCCCCCAGCACCACACACCATGGATGTACAACCCCTGGCACCACGCACCATGGATATACAGCCCCTGGCACCACACCCCTAGATCTACACACCATGGATGTACGGCTCCTGGCACCATGCACCATGGATGTACAACCCCTAAAACTACACACCATGGATGTACAGCCCCTGGCACCACACACCATGGATGTACAACCCCTAAAACTATGCACCATGGATGTACAGCCCCTGGTACCACACACCATGGATGAACAACCCCTAAAACTACACATCATGGATGTACAGCCCCTGGCACCACACACCATAGATGTACAACCCCTAGAACCAAGCATGGTGGATACACAGCCCCTGGCACCATGAACCATGAACATACAGCCCCAGGCACCACACACCATGGATACACAGCCCCTACCACCACATCCCGTGGATGCACAGCCCCTGGCATGAAGCACCATGGACACAGAGCCACACACCATGGATGCACAGCTCCTGGCACCATGTACTATGAACATACAGCCCCCAGCACCACACACCATGGATGCACAGCTCCTAGAACCAAGCACGGTGGATACACAGCCCCTGGCACCATGAACCATGAACATACAGCCCCCAGCACCACACACCATGGATGTACAACCCCTGGCACCACGCACCATGGATATACAGCCCCTGGCACCACGCACCATGGACATACAGCCTCACACCATGGATGTACAACCCCTGGCACCGTGCACCATGGACATACAGCCTCACACCATGGATGTACAGCCCTTGGCACCATGGGCATACAGCCACGCACCATGGACATACAGCCTCACACCACACAGCTCCTAGAACCAAGCACGGTGGATACACAGCCCCTGGCACCATGAACCATGAACATACAGCCCCCAGCACCACACACCATGGATGTACAACCCCTGGCACCACGCACCATGGATATACAGCCCCTGGCACCACGCACCATGGACATACAGCCTCACACCATGGATGTAGAACCCCTGGCACCACGCACCATGGACATTCAGCCTCACACCATGGATGTACAGCCCCTGGCACCATGCACCATGGGCATACAGCCTCATACCATGGACGTACAGCTCTGGCACCAAGCACCATGGACATACAGCCACACACCATGGATGTACAACCCCTGGCACCATGGACATACAGCTTCACACCATGGATGTACCGCTGCTGGCACCATGTACCATGGACATACAGCACCTGACACCATGGATGTACAGCCCCTGGCACCACACACCATGGATGTACAACCCCTAAAACTATGCACCATGGATGTACAGCCCCTGGTACCACACACCATGGATGAACAACCCCTAAAACTACACATCATGGATGTACAGCCCCTGGCACCACACACCATAGATGTACAACCCCTAGAACCAAGCATGGTGGATACACAGCCCCTGGCACCATGAACCATGAACATACAGCCCCAGGCACCACACACCATGGATACACAGCCCCTACCACCACATCCCGTGGATGCACAGCCCCTGGCATGAAGCACCATGGACACAGAGCCACACACCATGGATGCACAGCTCCTGGCACCATGTACTATGAACATACAGCCCCCAGCACCACACACCATGGATGCACAGCTCCTAGAACCAAGCACGGTGGATACACAGCCCCTGGCACCATGAACCATGAACATACAGCCCCCAGCACCACACACCATGGATGTACAACCCCTGGCACCACGCACCATGGATATACAGCCCCTGGCACCACGCACCATGGACATACAGCCTCACACCATGGATGTACAACCCCTGGCACCATGCACCATGGACATACAGCCTCACACCATGGATGTACAACCCCTGGCACCACGCACCATGGACATACAGCCTCACACCATGGATGTACAACCCCTGGCACCATGCACCATGGACATACAGCCTCACACCATGGATGTACAACCCCTGGCACCGTGCACCATGGACATACAGCCTCACACCATGGATGTACAGCCCCTAGCGCCATGGGCATAGAGCCACACACCATGGACGTACAACCCCTGACACCACGCACCATGGGCATACAGCCTCACACCATGGGCATACAGCACCGTGGACATACAGCCACACACCATGAAAGTACACCCCCTGGCACCAAGCACCATGGGCATACAGCCTCACACCATGGGCATACAGCTCTGGCACCATACACCATGGGCATACAGCCTCACACCATGGATGTACAACCCCTGGCACCATGCACCGTGGACATACAGCCACACACCATGGACATACAGCCCCTGGCACCATGCATTATGCACACACAGCCCCCGGCAACCACACACCATGGCGTACAGCTCTGACACCATGCACCATGGGCATACAGCCACACACCATGGATGTACAACCCCTGGCACCATGCACCGTGGACATACAGCCACACACCATGGACATACAGCCCCTGGCACCATGCATTATGCACACACAGCCCCCGGCAACCACACACCATGGATGTACAGCCACTGGCACCACACACCATGGCCATTGACCATCACTTGAAGACCACAAACCACCCCTTCCCAGCAGGACCCAAAACCCAGTCGCCCAGGCCCTGGCTGGCGGTGCCAGAGCCAAGTTGGGGGCTTTCTCTGCTCCGGCCGGATCATTTGAATTCAGCCCCACGGCTCCGGAGCGAGGGACACAAAACCCTCCTGCTCGGTGGCGGTGGCCGGGGTCCAGCGCGGGGGCTGGCTGCCGTCCCCCCCGGCCGGCCAAGCGAGGAAGGCTTTTGTCACGGGTGCCTTTTCTTCCCGTTCCCAAGGCGCCGCGGTGGCGTGAGCCGCGGCCGGCGGCAGCCACCGAGCCCCGGGGAGGAAATTCAAGTGATAAAACCCTGCAGGAACTGGGCAAACTGGGGAGAGAGGCTGTCTGCTCCCCCCCGCCCCCTCCCCGTGCCAGTCCCTGGCTGGGACCAGTGTGCCAGCACTGGGAATAGGATGTGGAAAGGGTTAAACCCAGTTTCTCCCTTACCCACGGGCAATGCCCCAAGGTCCCGGAGTCCTGAGATGGCAAAAAAACTCTCAGACGTCATGTTTGGGGTTTGGGGTTGGATTTTTGGGGCTTTTTTTGTTGTTCTTTTTTTCTCCCCTATTTGCCACAAACGGAAAAATTTTCAGGATGTGGAAAGGGTTAAACCCAGTTTCTCCCTTACCCACGGGCAATGCCCCAAGGTCCCGGAGTCCTGAGATGGCAAAAAAACTCTCAGACGTCATGTTTGGGGTTTGGGGTTGGATTTTTGGGGCTTTTTTTGTTGTTCTTTTTTTCTCCCCTATTTGCCACAAACGGAAAAATTTTCAGCCCACACATCAGGAGGGGAAAGCTGGGAGTGGGACTAGGGAAAAGTGGCCAAAAAACCTCAGAGAGGGGGGGAAATGATGGTGGCTTTTGGGGGTTCAATCATCTCCGAGACCTCGGAGCCGCCGGGGACGGACCGAGACTAGGGCAGGCACGTGGCGGGGCCGACTAACCTCCATTTCCGTGGGAAACCAGGTGGAAAATGGAGCTGAGGTTCTATTTTGGGCCGGGAGCAATGATTCTGTCTCCCCTGAGCTCGGCCCTGCTTTCGGAGGCGGCTCCTTGAACGCGGGGGGACGGCGTGACTTGGGGCTGGTCCAGGATGATTCTGGAGTTGGAGGGGGGGGGACAGAGAGCCTTTCCCATCTCCAGAGAGGGGCTTTCTCCTCCAGTGCCCCCTTGTCCCCTCCACGTGATGGTTACTCATCCCGGCTCACAAGGTGCCCTGCCAGCCCGCAGCGAGCCCGGGGAAGGCTGGGGATGGGGGGGGGGGGACAGGGACAGGCAGCGAAGCGGTGGCTTTCCAGGGATGCTCAGCTGCAGAATGAGTCAGCAGCCACGGGCAGGAGGCTGGCCCCACTCCAGGAACAAGCGGACAACCCCGTCCCCCCACTGGCAAAGGGCTTTGGACACCCCGGCCAGCCGGACGCGTCCATGTCCCCCGCCACGCACGCAGCCATCCCCGACACGCACGTGGCCGTGCCTGTATCACACACACACACCCTCTCGCCAAAAACTGGCCCCGTGTCCAGGATCGGTCCCCATCCCTGGATGTTCGTGGGGTGCAGCCATGCCCGGAGGGGTCCCCGGAGCTGGGGGGACCCCACACACCCCACGCTCTCCACGGGGGGAAGCGCCCGGCGGCCTCTTGGCAGCAGCCGCTGGCAGAGCTTAAAAGTCCGGAAGCAGGTGGGGACAACAGGGGGGTCCCTCCGGCTGCCAGAGCTGATTTCCCCCCCCCCCTTCAACCCAGCAGGGAGAAAGGGGCTCCTTGTTGCAGGGCTGGGGCACCTCCTGCACCCCCCCCGCAGCAGGAGGTCCAACCTTGGGGGGGAGTCTCCCTGGGGAGATAGAGCCCCCCCCACGGAGGGATTGGAGGTGGCAGCAGACCCCTTGGGGACCCCCCCAGGGACACACACGCCTGGGTGAGCATGTGACATGCACACATGAAGGTTTGCACCCCCATCCCTGCCTGTCCCGGTTTGTGAGGCTCGGGTGGGGAAACTGAGGCACGAGGTGGGGCAGGAGAAATGTGGGGTGGAGGATGGGGGGTGGGGGGTGTCCCAGATTTGGGCACTGCTGCGTGGGACCCACTAAACCAGGGCTCCCCAGCCCCTCTGCACCCTCGGACTCGCAGCTCCTCACTCCCAGCACAAGACCACAGCGCCCCGAGGAAGGAGCCAGGCTCCCAGTTTCCCCCAGTCTAAACCCATTCCTTGAAAAGCTGCCCTTAAAAACATCCCGACCCTCCTCGAGCAGTTGGAAAAGGATCCGGGCTGGGGCAGAGGGAGCTTTTCCCACCCCGAAAGGAAGAGCAACAGGTTCTGGGTTGGGTTGAGACGGGAGAAGTCGATGTGATGCGAGAGGAGGAGGAGGAGGCTTCGCCCAAAAGTGGTCCCCGGGGTGGGGGATGCTCAAGGGCAGCCCCTTCATCCCGAGGGACAAAATATTCTGGCTGGTGGGGGGAGGGGGAAGGGGTTTACAGAAAATTACCCCAGCCCTGGGGACCCCACGGGGGAGCTGGGGTTCACGTCGGGGCTGCTCGGTGGGGAAAAAGTCATGAAAATCCCGCAAAATGACTCTTTTTTCCCCCAGCCCCTCCTGCCCCCCGCACTGGGGCACCGGCAGAGCCGGGGGAGGATGGGGAGATCCGGCGGTCCCCCGCAGCCACCCCAAAACCCCAAACTCTGCCCCAGCCCCTGCGGGATCCTGAAAACCTCCCCAGGGAGAGCAGAGGGGGGGGCAGGAGGGGGGGGAGCCGGACCCCTGGGTCTCTGTGCAAACCCCTCCGTGCCTCAGTTTCCCTTCCCGCTGCCACCCCGACCGCAGCCTCCTTGGGACAAGGACCCATCCGGAGGCTCTGCAGGACGGAGGGGGAGGGTCCCCCCGAGAGGGGACACCCCAGTCCCATGCCGGACCCCCAACAGCTCCCCCAAACTGAGGATCCCACGGGAACAGCTGCTGTATCAGCAAAATCCGCAAAAATCCCTTTTATCCCCAAAATCTTAGAGCCCGACCGGGCTGGGCTCCAGGCTGCGGCGACCGGGCAGCACCAAAGTCCTTTTTCTACCCAACTTAGCAAAAACCAGACACACACCACCCCCCACCCAGCCCCCTTTCTGCCCCCAGATCTGCAGAACCGGCGTCGGTACAAATTGATCCGTTAAAAATAAAAATAAAATTAAAAAAAAACCTTGCAGCGCGATTCTCTCCTCCCGGGGGACGGGGGGGGTCAGGTCGGTGACAAGGACAAAGTGGGATGGTTGAGGGGGGGGGGACCACCAGCTTGAAGCATCCTCCTGGAGGGAGGATGCCTTGTGCCCCCGCATCCCGCGGCGGGGCGGGGGGGGGGGGAAACATTTGGGAAACTCCCCGGACCCCCCCCCCACCCCCCCCCCCCCCCCCCCCCCCCGCCCCCTCGGAAAATCGCGTTCCTCACCTTAGGAATCCGCACGGGCACCTGGGACCCCCCACGAAAGCCGGGAAACGCCGACCGTATTTTTCGGACTCTCCCGAGACGCACGCGGTTTCGCGGGGGGGGGGGGAAGATAAAAAAAATAAATTATTACCGTGTTGGCAGGCGCTTCGTCCCTCCCCTTCCCTCCCTCCTGGCAGCTGGCAAAGCCAGCACGGGATGCCCAGCGTGGGGAGAGGAGGATGCTCAACTTGGGCACATTATTTAACGATGGGTCCCCCAGACCTGGCCAAAAAAGGGGGTTTCCCCTCCCCCCCCCCCCCCCTTTCCCACTTTCAAAACAGATGTTTTTTGAAAAAAAAAGCCACCAAAGCCCAAACCAAGCAAAAAAACCCCTACACTAACAATGTGCAGTAAAAGGTATCACAGTTCATGCTGTTTTATTGCCCTCCTTCCAAAATGATCAGTTTTGAATACAAGATATATGGACATGAAACCAAGAAATATGGAGGTGGCCCTAAAGCGATATTAACGGGCTT